GGCTTTGATGTCTACTAGATTTTCACCAAGGATAACTTATTTAGTCTCTTTCATCTTTGATTTTTTTTTTTTACCTGTAAAACTGGCAAGATAAGACCTTCATTACTGGATTTTGTGTGAGGATTATATGCCAAATGATATTAAAGATGCCTAGCATAACGCCTGGCAGTATTAGATGTTCAATAAAAGGTATCTTTGTGTCATTGTCATCACTATCATTATCATGATCCTCACCACCATCATGTAGGAAAGCTATGGAGATAAGTATGGCCCTGGGCCGCTCAAGAGGTCCTGAAATGTTTGCTTCTATGCTGTTTGGTGGGGCAAGTTTGTGCCCCTGTGCAGGTTCTTAAGTTACTGTTGTTTTTCAGGGTTTGGTCTTTATATTTGGGCTTTTTCCTCCAAGAAGGAAGGGAAGGGTTTTAACTAATTAGGACTGGGGTAGTCAGATTTAGAGCAAGGCCTACTCTAACATGTAGTCAAATGTCTATGGACTCACATTCAGGTTGAAGAGGAAGACAGGTTAGAGAGCAGTCTACACCAGGGAAATCCACACAGAACAAAAGATTTTCATCAGTGCCACAGTGCTAAAGGTCAATGAATTTAGCTGACCTTTTTTTTCCCCTCACCCAAGGATATCTTTTTTATTGATTTTAGAGAGAGGGAGAGAGAAACATTAATGTATGAGAGAAACATTGATTGGTTGTCTCCTGTACATGCCCTGATCAGGGATGGAACCCGCAACCCGGCTATGTGCCCTGACCAGGAATCCAACCCACCACCTTTTGGTGCATGGGATGATGCTCCAACCAACTGAGCCACACTGGCCAGGGCTCAGCTGACTTTTAAATGCATTGGCAGAGGATGTACACATAGGTTAAGAAGAAGAGAACCAGATTAGGGAGCCTATCAGGTCCTAGGGAGATGGACTAATGATGGACCATCAACTTGGTTTCGTGCTCCAGTTCAAGTCAGAGGTCCACAGAACAAGTTTCTGGTCAGTTTCCTACATGGCTCTTGTTCATTTGTTTGATTGTTTATCTATGAAACATTTATGGAGCATCTCCCATGTGCCCGGCGTGCTGTGGGGGAGACAGAAAGGTACACACACACACACACACACACACACACGCACACACACTGCTACAAGAAGCCTTGAGCTCAGCATGTTCCTTTACATGCTTTAGATACACGAAAGCAGCTATAAAACACGGGTTAAAGTGGTGAGGTCATAAGGTCATAAGAAATGTACCAATTAAATTTTAGGGGAGTTCAGAAGAGGGAGAAAACGCTATCTACAGGTACAGAGTGTGAACGGGAAGCCTCTTAGCTATTCTTTGGCCTCCAAGCTCACCCTTCTCCATTGAATTCTGCATGCTATTGCCACTCTATTCTAAAACACCACTTTCAGCATGTCCAGCTTTTAAAAAAACCCTTAAATGATTTTCTATTTCCAACAGAACCAATTTCAAAGTCCCTTTTGGATTGTTCTATTATCTTTAGCTCTGCAGATGTGATTTCTTTCCCTTTTTGGGATGGGGATTGGCGGTGTGGTGTTTGTAGATTGCCTGCTTATCATTTTGCCTTTCTCATATATTTTGTGATTTTGGCCTGAGTGCATCTTCCCTTGAGGATGTTATCTGTGGCCTTTTTTTTTTTTTACTGTTGTGTCTTGGGTTGTGGGGGCTTTCCCATGGGACAGTTCAGTGTTTGTCTCTGCCTGGGGCTTAAGGATTTCTATACTGACAGATACTGAATTAGGGGTTTTACCTCAAGAGGCAAAGGACTTCCACACATGGCCTTTGACTGTATCCTGAACTGATGAACAAACATTCTGATTTCTGTTTAGGGATAGTCTAAGCTCCACTGGTTTTGGGTTTCATATAGGGAACCTGCTCAGGCTTGTGAGGCCGTGGGGCCTCTGACCTTGACTTGACATTAAAACCCCAGACCCTGGGGCTTGTGTTTTATTAAAGTCCTGGAGGTTTTATGCAGATAATTCCCTAAATCTGTACATCTAGCCCTAACCTCACCCCTGACCCCTGACCAAATCCCAGAGCTGCAGGCTCCTATATCCAACTGCCTGTTTGTCATATTTATTTGGCTATTTATGGCTGTCTCACATTTAATATAGTTTAAACAGGACTACTGATTTGTTAATATATATATGTTAAACACACCACCAAGGCATATGTATGAATAAACACTTCCAGAGTGCCTGTTATATGCTATCATTTTAATGGCTGTTATCTCAGTTCTGCCCTTATCTATGTATACATTATAGCTATATAGATCTATACACTACATAGCACATGTGTGTGTGGAGAGCATAGTTATCTCAGTGAACTCAGATATGCTTTGCTTTAGGTCCTCCAACAATCTCAAGATTTACAAAAAAGTGCTTTTTAGATAACAGCAGTCCTAACACTAAATGTTCATCCATGGTTCTGCTTTACTTACTACGAGAGGTAAGTAAACAGCTTTACAGCTTTTTCTTTATACCGGAGTTTTTGAAAAGTGTGATCCACCAATTACATGCATCAGGATAACCCAGGATTCTTGTTAAATAGACTGCTTTTTGGACTCTCTCAAGCTAAACTTCCTGGGGATAGGACTCAGAGAAGCATACTTTTTAAAACAAGTTCTTCAGGTTATTCTTAAGTGCACTGTGGTTTGAGAACCACTGCCCGAATCCCTGTTCTTCTTTGGCAATTCATCTAAAATATTTATGGAAGAGACTGTTCCAGAGAGCCCAGAAAAGAGGGAGCTGACTCACGGCCATTTCCCTCCACACGGAAATTGCCATGAAAGCCAGGGGACCTGGTTGGCCACACTGAAATACCCGCGGACATCTTGCTGTGCTGTAGCATTGGACCTCACTTGAACTTTCCAGAACTACAAGTGCTACTTAAATTTCTTTTCAGAGCTTTTCATCTTGTTGGTCTAAACACATAAATGTCAGCAGAGGATGATGCAGCTTAGATATCATTAGCGTTTGACTAACTCTCTGGTTTGCCTGAGTCTAAGGGGTTTTTGGGATGCATGAGTTTTGGTGCCAAAACCACAAAGGTTCTGGGCAGACTAGGATGAGTTGGTCACCCTAGTGAATGTGTCTTACAGATCAGTTTATGAGTTGAAATTTAATGCATCAGGAAAAAATATATGAAATCTATATGAGTAATAAAATAAGGAAGACCAGAGAGGGATGAAAAATATTTGGGGATTAGTGAGATTTGTGGTGCAGGATAGAACAGTTCATGACATTGAAGAGTGGGCAGTTTTTCTCACCCTTTAATAAAGGCTTTGCATCCAGCATGTTGTACGGCGTAGCTGCTTATCTTCTAATTCATGTTGGGTTTGACAATAGTGGTGGGAACATAAATGGAATGAGGAAGTTTGTTTCCTAGCTCTGTGAGGGGGCTGACCTTTCTGACCCATTCATGCATTGTTTGGTGCCTTCTTGCATGTTCCCAAGTTGTAGTGAGAGCAAACAAAGTGTATAATCTATTAGAGGGTGGGGTGGGGGGACATGTGGATGCACTTACTCTCTGCCAGAAGTCTGTGGTCAGATCTGGTGACTGGGTGCTCTCTCTGCTGTCCCATTTAGCATCCTCCTAGAGCAGGAGCAACTTAGTGTTAAACATGGAGGGCAGTGCCTCGGATCCATGATACTTTTAAGGACTCATGAAAATGTTTTAGTTTATTTAAAATGATGAGCAAAAATCTTTTAAGTTGAAGAAAATGTTTTTATATATAATGTTAATTCATTCATCTTTATACCAATGAAATAATAAAATATAATTTTTAGTAGGAACATTTAAGTTAAAATTTTAATAATTTAAAAAAATAGAGTAAAGAGCCCATGAAAGCAAAGTATCCAGGTTCCACAAAAGTCATAATGTGGCCCTGCTCCCCAGGGTGGCAGCGGTCAGCCATTGTGAGCTGGGTGGAGGGAAAAGTCTTTGGGAGCAGCTACCCCTGAAACCAGGAGGAGTTGGAGGGCATTCCCAGGTGTGGATCTGTGGGAGCAGAACAGATGAGACTGGGGAATACAAGACATGTGACTTGCCTAGAAGATGAAGGGTCTGCAGAGGAGGAATGTTGGCTGGGTCCACTCCTAGGAAGACTGGAACAGGGATGTGAATGCTGGTGTAATAGTGTATGTTCCCTGGTGCTATGTCCTGATGTCCTGAGGCAGGGTGCTATTGTTCACCAATAACCATTCTCTTCTTCCTTGAGCAGTAACCTCCTGTGGTAGGCCGAATTGTGTCCTCCAAAAAGTATGTTCAAGTTTTAACAGCTCGTATCTGTGAATGTGACCCTATTTGGAAATAGGGTCTTGGCAGTACAACCTCAAGTTAAGGTGACTTTGTCTTTCTAAGAAAAAAGAAAAGAGGATTTGGATACAGAGACACAGAAGCCATGTGACGATGGTGTCAGAGACTGGAGTAATGCAATTACAAGCCCAAAGCACCAAGGACTGCCAGCAACCATCAGAAGCTAGAACAGAGGCATGGATGGTTTCTTCCTTAGAGCCATGAGAAGGAACCAACTCTGCCAAGACCTTCATTTTGGACTTCTGACTTCTTCTATTTGTTGTTGTTAATCCTCACTCAAGGATATTTTTCCATTGATTCTTAGAGAGAGTCGAAGGGAGGGAGAGAGAGGTGGGTGAGAGAGAGAGAGAGAGAGAGAGAGAGAGAGAGAGAGAGATACATCGATGTGAGAGAGACACATTGATTGGCTGCCTCTCACATGTGCCTCAGCTGGAGCCAGGAATTGAACTTGCAACCCAGGTATGTACCCTTGACTGGGAATTGGACCCGAAACCTTCGGTGTTTTGACTGATGCTCTAACCATAGAGCCAGACCAGCCAGGGAAGCATTTTTAATTTAAATCATAAAAAAAAATTTTTTTTCAATTCTCACCTGAGGACATTTTTTTTTTTTAAAAACAAAAACACAAGAGAACAAATGCATTTTATTTACTTTTCAGTAAATTTAAATCCTTGAGGGGTCCAGCATTACACAGATTCTGCGTCCAAGGTTGCTTCGGAATTTAGCGCGAACCATGCCAGTATTTCCATGAGCACGAGTTACCTTTCCCCAGATTACTCTGGTTTTGTTTGGTTTGCCACCAGGAGTCATTGTGTTGTTCTTTGCTTTGTACACATAAGCACATCTCTTGCCCAGATAGAATTCAGTTTCATCTCGAGCATAAACACTTTTAGTTTTAAAAAGAGCAGTGTGCTTCCTCTGGTTCCGGAAACCCCGCTTATAACCAGCAAAAACGTCCTTGGACCACAGCCTTCCAGACATATTTGTCCTTATAGAAGTCCTGTTCCCAGCGGGCTTCCACAGGGTCCAAGATGGCGGAAAAAGCCAAGGACATTTTTATTTTCTATTTATCTTCAGATAAAGTGGGAGGGAAGGAGAGAGAGAGAGAGAAACATTGATGTGAGACACATCACCTGGTTGCCTCCTGCATGACCCTGACTAGGGCCAGGGATAAACCGCAATTGAGATATGTGCCCTTGACTGGAATTGAACTCATGACTCATTGGTCCTGGGGCCGATGCTCTCACCACTGAGCCAAACTGGCCAGGGCAATTTAAATCATTTTTATTTTTCAATTACAATTTACATGCAATATTATATTAGTTTCAGGTATACACCTCAGTGATTAGACATTATATAACTTACTATGTTATCATCCCGATAGATCTTGTATCCATCTGACACCATACATAGTTATTAGATTATTGACTATATTCCCTATACTCTACTTTACATCTCCACGACTATACTGTAACAGCCAATTTGTATTTCTTAATCCCTTCACCTTCTTTACCCATCCCCACAATCTGGAGTTTTGTTCTGTTCTTTCATTTGAGACATGCTTTTTTTTTTTTCTTTTTTCTCCTGACTTTGGCAGCCTCCTTGTATTTGTTTCTATGTATTGGGTAGGGCTGCTACATCTCCCAGGCTTGGTAGGGTGGCCTTATGTAGTAGGAGTTCTATAGGGTCCAGTGGCACAGCCTACCCAATCACCCAAGCTGGACACTCCAGGTGCACCTCCCCCGCCTCCCACCTGGGCTATGTACACCCTTCTGTTGTGGTTAAGCTTTGATTGCTATTGGCACATCAGTGGGAGGGATTCACCCCCAGGCTGATCAGCTGTAAGGTCCACAGACCACTGTCCACAGACCACCATGGAGGACCAGCTGTGCAGGGGCCCAGCTTATTTCAGTGGGAATATGTTGCCTGCTCAATCCACTTCTTGAGTGTGTCATTTGTGGAGGTGGTTGGAAGATACTACAAGGTGATCTGAAGCTGTCCACTGGGTGCACTGGCTCTAGGGCCTCCCAGGAGGTGCAGGCCAGGGTTAGCTGCTGCCTGTGTTCTTCCTGGTGCCACCTGGCATGTGCTACAAGTGATCTATAGATGGCTGCTTGTGTTGGGCTTGGAGGTGCCCAGGTGAAGCCAAGCTGCAAACCAAGGCTGGCTGCTATTAGTGCCATGAGGTACAGGGCATGCTGAGGCCACATACTGCTTGTTTGAGACATTTTAGGAAAGTCTGAAGTATGAGCCAAGATAGGCCATTTGTATGGAAAAGCCACTGGAAACAGCTTGGGAGAGCCCACAGGTTGGGTGGGGTGGGTCTCAGGGAATCACCAGGTGGGGCAAACAGTATGAGCCTGGTTGATGGAGATTCAGATATGGTGCCTGCCTGCCGGCTCTGAGTGTAGAGGTGGTGGTCGCAGAAAAGGAATAGTAGCCTCTGCCAGCACTTTTGTCTGTCAGAAAGCTGCCCCTCTCAGTTCTCACCCCAATGCCGGACAATGAAGTTCCTCCCCATATGTCCCTGGTGCCTTTCGAGCTGCCTCAGTGCTGGAACTCAGAGCAAGCAAGTCTGAGTAAGTCCACAAGTGGGCCCTTTAAGAGAAACTACCTGGGACTCTAGAAGCCCCCCATTTCACTCAGCCACAATCCTGCTGTTTTTTTTTTTAAATTGAATTTATTGGGGGGTCATTTGTTAATAAAATTATATAGGTTTCAGGTGTACAATTGTATAATACACCTGTATATTGTATTATGTGTTCACCAACCCAAGTTAAATCTCCTTCCATCACCATGTATCCCCGCTACACCCTCTTTTACCTCCACTCACCCCCCCCCCCTTTCTCCCCATTTGTTTTTACAGCCAGACGCTATGGGGACTTCTCTTCCTGGCACTGGAACCCTGGGCTGGGTTATTTATGCTTTGATTCTCATGTGTGAGAGAAATAAACTATTATGGTTAAGTTACTCTTATTTTGACTTCTGTTATAGCAGCTGAATGTTTTATCTAAGTAGAAGTTCTCTATACTCCAGAGCGCTGCTTCTTCGCAGCTCTCCTCAGGTATTGATATTTGATATTTGATATTCTGGCCTCACTGTTAACAGGACCAATGTTTTGAGTTTTTTTTTTTTTTTTTTTTTCCCTGATGATGGGAACAGATTGCATTTAGCCTCTACTCCTCCCAACCCCCAGACATAGCTCCTCCATCCAATGGGAAACATCCATGGGTTGGTCAGGGCCAGGAGGGAGACTGTTGCCAGGATAAATCTCCTTATGGGGCTTGAATATGCAACCTTGACCTCCTCATCAGCCAAGTCCACCAGGTTTTGCCTTTCACTCAGCAGATTCCTAGCCAGATTTGGGTGCTCTGGCGTCCTCTAATCCTATTCCTGTCAGATCAGGGGGAGGGCAGGGGAATAAGGTGTCTCTTGGCTGCTTCTAGTAACCAGCTCTTCTTCCCTTGGAGCAGGACTGCCCTTTACAGTGTTAATCTTGTGTGCAGTTGGGCTTTTTCTTCTTGAAAATGGTTTATATTAATTTTTTTCATGGAAAATGTCAGCAAAGCCTCTCAGAATAAGACTTGTGTGTGTGTGTGTGTGTGTGAATATTTGTGCAGGATGGTGAACAGTGGGTGAGATGTGGAATGAAAGGGAAAATGATCCACCATTTACTGGGTGGCCTCTTTGCGATAAGTGCCTTATCAGACATTACACCATTTACTTATCCAGACAATCCCGAGAGGTAGGAATTATCCCCCGTATCTTAAACGTGCACAAACGGGCACACACGTAGGCTGACAGCTTGTCACTGGTAGTGTCCAACGAAGTTCCTACATTTGCCTTCCATGAACTTTTCCATACAAACTAATCACACCATTTGTTATGTCTTTAATGCATAATGGGAAAGGAGAAATTCTATGAATATTTGGCTTATCTGATTCTGGAACTGGTCACTCTGGAAATACAAGCAAAAGAATGATCTTTGGGGACCTGTGTTATTTAGGTGTTTCATTCACCTGGCGTTGACTTCTGCCTTCTTGGTCTTCCTCGGCTGCTGAACAACAAAGGCAACAGCAAGCACACGACTCTGGACTCTGGTTGTGTTAAAGGACACTGATTCCCAAACCAATGACTCCAATTGTTTTAACCCAATGGAAGTGTTTTTCATTTGTTTCCTTGTTTTCTAATATGTCAGTTCTTTCAATAGTAGTGCAAAATTTGAAATTAACATTCTAGACTGATCTTATCCTTTAAAAATCTTGTTCACATTAGAATTATTTTCATTTTACAAATTTAAATTAAGCATTTGTATTTACAGAGAAAGAATTTCTCTGTACAGGTTCTATCTGCCAACTTGCATGTGGGCAAACCCATGGGAAAAAGAGAAGTTTCTTTTTTCTTGTAAGTAACATTAACTTCCTAGTTAAAAATTAACAACCAATCAAGGATAGCATTTGAGTATATTGCTTTCTTATCATTTTACTGTAATTAAAAATATGTAATGTAATTGTGATGAAATTTTATATTTCATGCTATACATCAAATGGGTCTTTTCTGTGTATGGGTTTGACTATATGCACGCGCGCGCGCGCGCGCACACACACACACACACACACACACACACACATTCAGCTATCCTCCTTTCTAACCACCGTATGATAATGACATCTCCCTCCTTTCTTCTTCAGGTTGCATATTGTCATTGAGATAGTGAGGGGAAACACTGTCCCTCTCCTCAGGGCTGACTTCACTTTGCACTGCTGTTCTGAGGTCCCAAGGTTGAGAAACAGCACCTGGGAGTTTCACAGGACGTTGCTGTGTGATTTTCCCACTGCAGGAAGAGAAAGCCTGGCTCCACCCTGGCGCTACCTTTTCTTAAATTGTGACAGAGCAGTCCCCGAAGCCTGCAGTTCTTTCTTCTGGGTGTCATAAAGTACTTCAGTGGACAATTTTTCATTTTGTCTGCCTTACCCATGCAACCCCTTCCTGCTCATCATTTGGATTTTAGAACAAAGCTCTTTGGGTAATGCAGTAAGTGTTGGGAATAATAACTGACACTCCTTTTTTGAAATAAACAGATTTATAGAGGTATAATTTTCATATCATAAAATTCACCCATTTTAAGTGTACAGTTTGATTTGTTTGATAAATTTATACAGCTGTGCAACCATCAGTACAATCTAGTTTTAGAACATTTCCATCACCCCAAAGTCTCCTAGTGCCTATTTAATGTCAATCTTCATTCCCACACCTAGTCCCAGGCAACCACTGATATACTTTCTGTTTCTATAGATTTTCCCTCTTTAGAAATACTACATAAATGAGATCACATACTATTTACTGTTTTGTGCTTGGCTCCTTTAATAGCATAATTTTTTTTGAGAATCACTCATATTGTTGCAGGTAACACTAGTTTATTCCTTTTTATTGCTGAATAGTATTCCATTTTATGACATATATATTCTGTTTATTCATTCATTTGTTGATGGACAGTTGGATTTCTTCCACCTTTGGTGAATAATGCTGCGATGAACATGGGTGTACAGATATCTGTGTGAGTCCCTGCTTTTACTCCTTTTGGGTATATATCAAGAAGTGGAATTACTGGATCACATGGTAATTCATGTTTCATTTTTTTAGGAATTGCCATACTATTTTCTATAGCAGCCACATCATTTCACTTTTTTTTTTTTTTTTTTTTTTTTTTTTACCAGTAATGCAGAGTCCCTATTTCTCTACATCATTGCCAACATTTATTTACTGGGTGAAATTTTTAAAACTTTTATAACATCCTAATGGTTGTGAAGTGGTATCTCATTGTTGTTTGATTTGCATTTCTCTAATGATTAGTGATGTTGAGAGTTTTTTCATGGGCTTATTGGCTATGTGTGTATTTTTTTTTTTTTTTTTTTAGAAATGTCCATTTATATCCTTTGCCCATTTTAAAATAGGGTTCTTTTTTCATTGAATTGTAGTTC